ACGAAAAAAAAAAAAAAAAAAAGCCTAGAGCCTAGTTGATGAATATGAAAAGCATTGTTCTTTTTCTTCTCTGTTTAAGAAAGTGCTGGAGAGCAGCAGATCAGTAATAAGGCTCTTGATACCATCTCCAATAACAGATGAGAAAGCAGTGAAGCGTACGGCCCTTAATCAATGAAACATCCAGCGTCAGATACTGTACAGCATACAGTACAGTAGAGATTTGTTCCATCGGCCTGCGAGAAAGCTTCAAAAAGTCCCACATTCATCATTCACGTTTTATCGAGCTGCAGAAGCTGGAACATTACGCCAGTTTATTTCTTCGCGGATTTATTCATTCATAAATATTCATCCTCCACATATGTCACGCACACACACACATGATTTATCTGAAAGAGAAATATTGCTTTTCTAATATTACACACCGAGATTTATTGTCTCTCATTACCATTGTTATCGCAGTAGCTTTCAAGTAATCTGTTTTTACCACTATGGGCGTTCACTATTTACTGTGCAGGAATATCATTCGGGATCATGCATCTTTCTCCAGAAATCCATATAAGCGTGGAATCAAAGGCAGAGATCTGCAGCACAAAGCATTCTGGGACCCCACGGTGCCTGAATTAAGCGTCTCTTTAATGGAAATGGTCTATTTTCCAGGGCATTAGAATGATCCAGGCCTGGAGTTTAATTGGAACGCTGTGTTTCAGAGGAGTGATGTATGAAATGAAGTTAAAGTCGGGCAAGTCCACACGTCTGGGCTTGATACGGATCCTCAAACGAGCCGTCCGTCCAGGGCTCAATCAGTCCGATCAGATCAGATTCTGATTTAGGACGGAAGGAAATCACAAGGGAGAAATTAAATGGTAATTACTATTGATTACCTATGTGCATATGACCCCACAGGCCTTGCTTTGCATACTTAAATCAACTTAAATAATTGGATTTGCTAATTTTTTATGTGTGTAAGCCAGAGTGTGTGTGGCTAGGACTATGAAATACGTTCAAGTATAAAAAAGTGACTGACAAATGATGCAACCTGACCCTTGTGATGCATTAGTTTGTGTTTTTTAAATGTGAACTGGTTTTATTTGTGACGTTTGGGGCATTGGTGATTGCGCTGCATTTGATTTAGCTTCAGCAACCAGGAGGTTAGGATTCTGAATTGTCTGGGGAATAATTTATTATGTGGTACTTATTTACAAACAATACTGCATATATTTATGCTGCGAGTACACAGGCAGTATAATGAAAATCAGGAGGCAAGAAGCAGTTGTGGTGTGTGTGTGTGTGTGTGTGTGTGTGTGTGTGTGAGACAGAAGCATGGCTGAGCATGCTGCACAACACGTGCTCACAAAGCTCTGTTATTGTGATGATGCACTGCTGCCCCCTACTGGATCAACAGTCAGTCACATCACTATTGCACTTAGTACTATGATCAAGTACTAATTATCATACAGACTTTATAACACGTTTTGCAATATATATTATTGCTATTTTGTTGGTTTGGTGTAGAGGTAACATGCTGTAGCAACAGTTGGATCGAGTGTATTCAGTAGTACTCGGTACATAAAACATAAGTTACGTTTTAAACTTGGTTGATGCAGTATCATACTGGCATACTGCCAGTATGCCAACATGTCTTAAGATGGATAAAACTTTTTTTTATTATTCTTGTTTATTTATTTAGCTTTCTGGAAGCTGGTATGTACATCAATATTGATAAAACCAATGTAAATACATTTTGCAACCTATATTTGCTGCTAATTGATTCTGTTTAAGAATTTGAAATGTTACCAATCAAATGAAATCAATATCATCAGAAATACAGATGTGACATGAATGCATTACTGTAATTACCATTGCATAAATAGTATTATGAGATTGTTTTAAAGATAAATATTGAATATAGAAAAAAATAAAATCAAATATTTTAAAAATGAAACTAAAACTGCCAGTAGGTGGTGGTCACTGTCATTTAAATGATTCGTACAAAACGGCCAATTCATTCATGAAACAAGCAAGTGACTGTATGTATCCGGAATCACATACTTCCCTAATCTATAATATGCGGGAAAACAACAACAACAAAAAAGCCAATGGTTTTGTCCATTATACCACACTTAAAGGGATAGTTCACCCAAAAATGAAAATCACACTATAATATACTCACCTTCAAGCCCTCCTAGGTGTATATGACTTTCTTCTTTCAGACAAATACAATTGGGCTTATATTAAAAATAAATACACAAATAAATAAATAAATGCAATTATATGTTATATATATAAAAAAAAAAAAATCAATAGTCCAATAAAGTGTGCCAATCCATTATAAAAAGTACTCCACACGGCTCCGGGGGGTTAATAAAGGCCTCCTGAAGCGAATCACTCTGGAGGGTAAACCCTTTGAAGGGATTATGGCGTAGGGATGAGGAAATTCACGGTAATACAGACCCTCTCACCTCCCTATGCTTACACTACGCCTGCGTGATCCGCTGGAACGTGATTCGTGTACGTGCGTAAGACAATTAGCAGAAGCTAGAGATACAGTTCATAAAGTTTTAAATATGGGTATTTTTCTTACAAAAACGATTCACTTCAGGAGGCCTTTATTAACTCCCCGGAGCTGCGTGGGCACTTTTTATGATGGATGGACACACTTTATTGGACTTCTTTTGGACTATTGAATATCAACACCCATTCACTGCCATTATAAAGCTTGGAAGCGCCAGGACATTTTTAAATATAACTCTGATTGAATTCGTCTGAAAAATTCCTTGCTTTATACCAATAATGAATGGAAATATTGTTGGCAACATTTAAGGTCACTTTCTCCCAGAGTGTGGAGCAAAATAAATAAATAAATAAATACATAAAAAATAAATAAATACAAGTTAGTTAGTTAGTTAATTAGAAACCCAGACATGTCACTTCCTGTCAGAAAAGAACAAGACCAGGCTGACCCCAGTGAAAGCAGCTCTGATGCACCTGTGTCAAAGACAGCAGCTCCAGCGTGCCACTTACTGTTGTAGAGTAGGATGAAACTAACACTGGACAAAAGGTGAAATAACACTTTCTTGGTGGGAAAAAAATAAATCAACAATAAAACCTTATCCTATCCCTGGTGCAAAGAAAATAATTATAAAAAATTAAAAAACCTGGTGCAAAATCCCCAACTTAACAACAACAATAATAATAATAATAATAATATGAAACCAAGTTTTTTTTTGTGTGCAACATTTTCTAAATATCCTTCTAATTGTCTTTCTAATATTCTTTTAGTTTTCTAAGAGTTTAAAAAGTAAAAAAAAATGATAAGTTGCTGATTTAATGGGTTCAGAGTGAGTGTATGAATGTTTTTATTGTAAAATTATTTATTGCAATTTTTCAGGACAGGTAGCGTGTTCCCACACAATATTTATTTATTATTATTAATTTATTTTATTATAAATTATTTATTAAAAATTACAATATAAATATTTACTACTACTATTATCATCTTCATCATCATCATCATCTTGTCTTTAACCAAATGTTGAATATATATGTATATATATATATATATTTATTTATTTCTATTTTAGAGCTGACGGGACAGATTTCAAAGAAAATTGCATACGTCATTCATCAAAAATATAAATTTGCAAAAAAAAAATGGTATTGATAATGAATTTTTATTATTATTATGTTTTTTTGTGTGTTAATATAAGTCACTTTTGACACAAGCCCTTGTTGATTTCTGATCTTGCTGTCAGCCTCCTACCATCAAATAAATAAATAAATAAATAAGATTTGTACCACATCGTTGTTATTTTCAAATACCATGGTATTTATATACTGCAGTATTCATTACATGGTACTTCAAAGAATACAAGTATCATGGCACAAGACAGAGAACCAGGGTAGCATGTGTTCAGGCTGATAAGAATGCTAATGTGTTCAATCAGACAGCAGACAGTGATTTTCACACATGTGATCGTGGTCTTTATTGGTCAGGCAAATGTTAACACTTGATGATGCAATACATTCAAACATCAAACAGTGCTCTAGCAATGTGGACTTCACCACATATGGCGCTTCTTTCTGAGAACTTCAGAGAGAGAGAATGTGATTTGAAGCGGAACACTATTGCAACACAATGGGGTGACAGCGGGGCCGCCGCTCGCAACCGGCGACAGGAGCGAAAGGACATACAACAGCAAAACAAAATGCCACTGCTTCTTACACACTCCTACGATTAACATTGATTTCTGTAAAATAACAAAGGGTGACATTTTTCAAACAAAGCGTTGACAGAACAAAGTGGTGCAGCCCAGAGAATAAAAGTGTCGAGGACAGCGCTCACAGGACAGCGTGACCTTTAAACACTGCCGCTGTTTGGATGTTTAAATGGCAGCCATGGCCTCAGACTCTTTGGGGTGGTTGAGGACCACATGTTCCAGCTGTCCAGAGTCTGATATGTCGTAGCTGGTCTTGTACTTGGCCAAGATCTTCATGAGTGGACGTAACTTCAGCCACCACTGTTCCTTAGGGATTCTGTGACTGAACAAACAATATAGAAGGTCCGATATTATTACAGATACAAAATATTTGATCCTGTCTTTAGAATATATGTAAGAACTGTAGTGTGTACATACACAAAGTCAGTCTCATCTCTGAGCTGAACCACAGGCTGGAAGACCATCGCACGCTGCCGCATGCCCAGCAAACAGGCCGAGTCTTCTGTGTTAGCAAACACTCTGCCTACACAACACACACAGGTTCAACACACAATCACAAAACTGCCAATAAATAAATAAATGAAAATAAAATAAAATATAAAAATGAAGAGTGGAAATCCACTATATATACTGTATATATCATAAATCGAAAAAAAATTATCCAAATTACATTTATATGGCCTAGTATAATAGTAATAATAGTATTTATAGCATATTATAGCAATTATAGATAACATATAGGAATATTTACAATAGTAAACTGGCAGTAGAAGTGAAAACCCACAGATTAAAAAAAAAACATCTAAATTATATGTATGTAGCCTAGTACATTAATAGTTCATATTTGTAGTATATTATGGTAATTATATATTGGAACAATTACAAGAGTGAACTGGCCTATTGAAATAAATAAATAAACACAATAAAATAAAATGGAAATATAGAAATATAGAGGAAATCCACAAAGAATATATATTAATAATCCATATTTATGTATTTACAATTACACAAGCTACACCACAGAAATGCACTAATAAATCATCTTTTAGTGAGGTCACCAAATCAGACTGAGTAAAATACAAATGTTTTACCTTCATCTTTATTCATCCACAGGCACAGCAAAAGGAATAAAAACACATAAAACTGAGCTGAAAAAATGCAGCGACTCTACGGTATTATTTCAAAATAAGTAAATCACGGATTATGTTGAGTACTGCAGTGTATGTGTGCAGTCATTATTACGCTTTAACAATATGACAAATACTGAGTGCCTCGTGTACAACAGCACAGGTCAAAAAGAAGGTCAAGTGGTGATTGAGTTCTATTGACAGCTTAAGAAAGTTTGTTTCTTTACCACATGAAATGCATAACTGTTGTCTTTCATACCTTTTCTGTAGCTTTCATTCAGTTTCTTGGAGATCCACTGCATGGCCTTAGCAGCGATTTTGGTCCCAAAGTTACGGTCAAATGGAGAAGGAGCACCACCCTAGTGAAAGATACATATATCGATAATAATTCATTATTTATTATTTATTTATAATTATTTAATTTATTATTTATTTGTTATTTTATTAGTTAGGTATAATTATATTTTATATAGGTATAATATAAAATATTAGGTATAATGTATTTTATTGTTGAGGTATACTATTTTGATAATGTTAATGTTAATTATTTAGGTTATATAGTTTTAGATTACTTATTTTATTTGTTACTACTACCTAAAATTCAGCATAATATTAACAAATACATAATACAATAAAATAAAGCCTAAATGGATCATATAAAATAATATATCCCAAATAACAATATAAATATATTTATGGAAACATTTTGGTAGGCCAGGAATTCCATGCACACAGAAACCAGCACAAATAATACAAGTATCATCTAAAGTGCTTGTTCACTTGAATTAGCAGGCAAAAGAAAACGGTATGTCTGCTACAGAATATTGATTCAGTAAAGTGGAGTTAAGTCGGCCAGAGTGTTCTGTGATGTATGATTCATGTGCAGTACCTGCTGCATGTGACCCAGAACATTCTTCCTGCAGTCAAACACTCCCTTGCCCTCCTCAGAGTAGAGCTGATAGATGAAGTCTGTGGTGTAGTTTTCATTACTGTTCTCATTCCTGCATGAACACAAGCACAGACAAACCGGCTGAGTGAGTGACAGACCGCCTGAGGCTCTGCTCTCACATCTCAATCACACTGGCCCCAAATACTCTCATCCGAGCCGAGAGGAGACCAAACATGAGGGAACAAACCTCAAACTCAGATAGATAGATAGATAGACAGACAGACAGACAGACAGACAGACAGACAAACGATGGATGGATAGAACAAAGGATGATAGATGGACAGACAGACAGAACGATGTAACAATAGACAGACAGGCAGACAGACAGAACGATAAAACAATGGACAGGCAAACACATAGAAGGATGGATGGATGGACCAAAAGACGACAGACAGACAGACAGACAGATAGATAGATAGACAGACAGACAGAAAAATGATGGATGGATGGAACAAAGGATGATAGATGGACAGACAAATAGAACGATGTAACAATAGATAGACAGATAGACAGATGTTGGATGGATAGATGGATAGATGGAGCAGAGGATGATAGATGGACAGACAGATAGAACGATGATAGAAGGATGGATGGATGGACCAAAAGACAACAGACAGACAGACAGACAGATAGATAGACAGACAGACATGTTTGATGGATAGATGGAGCAGAGGATGATAGATGGACAGATAGAACGATGATAGATAGACAGACAGACAGACAGATGTTGGATGGATAGATGGAACAAAGGATGACAGACAGACAGACAGACTGAGATAGATAGACAGATAGACAGACAGACAGAACGATAAAACAATGGACAGGCAAACACATAGAAGCATGGATGGATGGACCAAAAGACGACAGACAGACAGATAGACAGACAGATATATAGATAGATAGACAGACATACAGACAGACAGAACGATGTAACAATAGACAGACAGACAGGCAGACAGACAGACAGATAGACAGACAGACAGAACGATAAAACAATGGACAGGCAAACACATAGAAGGATGGATGGATGGACCAAAAGACGACAGACAGACAGACAGACAGACAGATAGATAGATAGATAGACATACATACAGACAGACAGAACGATGTAACAATAGACAGACAGACAGGCAGACAGACAGACAGATAGACAGACAGACAGAACGATAAAACAATGGACAGGCAAACACATAGAAGGATGGATGGATGGACCAAAAGACGACAGACAGACAGACAGACAGATAGACAGATAGATATATAGATAGATAGATAGACAGACAGACAGACAGACAGATGTTGGATGGATGGATGGAACAAAGGATGATAGATGGACAGACAAATACAACGATGTAACAATAGATAGACAGACAGACAGACAGACAGATGTTGGATGGATAGATGGAGCAGAGGATGATAGATGGACAGACAGATAGAACGATGTAACAATAGATAGACAGATAGACAGACAGACAGATGTTGGATGGATAGATGGAGCAGAGGATGATAGATGGACAGACAGATAGAACGATGTAACAATAGATAGACAGACAGACAGATGTTGGATGGATAGATGGAGCAGAGGATGATAGATGGACAGACAGATAGAACGATGTAACAATAGATAGACAGACAGACAGATGTTGGATGGATAGATGGAGCAGAGGATGATAGATGGACAGACAGATAGAACGATGATAGATAGACAGACAGACAGACAGATGTTGGATGGATAGATGGAGCAGAGGATGATAGATGGACAGACAGATAGAACGATGATAGATAGACAGACAGACAGACAGATGTTGGATGGATAGATGGAACAAAGGATGACAGACAGACAGACAGACTGAGATAGATAGACAGATAGACAGACAGACAGAACGATAAAACAATGGACAGGCAAACACATAGAAGCATGGATGGATGGTCTCTGTCAAGTGCTCTACGTTAGACTGAAGAAAAGAGAAACAGGTTCTTCATTTAACCAACAGATGGCGCTAATGTTTATTGTTTAATAACAGGCACTAAGATTATATAACCTTATGTGTAATTATTTATGAATAATGTTGCATAATTTTATTACTAAGACAGTAGCGTTTTAGCGATGTGTGTGTGTGTGTGTGTGTGTGTGTGTGCTGGTAACCTGAAGTTCTCTGATGTCAAACGGCTCCTCAAAGATATATGCAGCATCTGCTCCAGCTGCCAGTCCACCAACACTGGCCAGATAACCACAGTAACCTCCCATGGTCTCGATGATGAACACGCGGTGCTTCGTTCCGCTGGCAGACTGCTTTATACGGTCACATGTCTGACAAACACATACACGTTTAGTCATTTTGTGTCTCGAGTAATGCTATAAATCTTGCTTCAACCTGCTGAATGCCATGCAACAAGAACCACTTTTGGAACTCTAACTAAAAATGTCTTTTCTTACTATTATGAACACAAACCAGTTTGGAGACATGGACTATTTACTTTTCATTACAGTAAATCTAAGCCAAGATAAATTATTTCGCATCACAGAGAGCTTTGGGAAGGTAAACTCTACTAAGTACGGGCTTTTAGGAGCACCTTACAGACTGACAAAACAATTTATGATATACAATAATGCTCCTCATACTAAACTGTATATAAGACTGCATATGTTATTCCAAAAATATTGCCATCTAAACCATCTGAATGTTTTTATTACTGAGTATCTTTGAGTCATTCTCAGGAAACTGTGCCATTTTGTGTGCTATGTGTGTGTTCTCAAGTACTACTGCTATTATCAAATCAGTCACAATATTTGATACATTTTAATCTTTTTAATGTGTAATAAAATGGTTTAATTTTTTTGTTTTTAATAGGAATATTAGCCACGATTTGTGTGCCTCTGTTAAAAATGTTACATCAAATATAGAATAAGCGATAAATATAATAATATTATTTAGGTGTAATATTTTTATAATGTTAATATTATTATTTAGGATGTGTAATTTTATATGAATGTATTATTTTATTTGTTAATAAAAAAGAATATTCTGCTAAAATATTTTATTTTCCCCCTAAAATGTTTTATTTGTCCATCACTGTGTTTTCCCCTTTAAAAATAATAGTTTGACATCATATTTAAGTGAATAACATCATCATTTTTGACCAGGTGGCTCACACTGAGATAGCTTTATCTTCATCAGTATTTCAATGTGTTCTTTTGGCCTTGTCAGGCTCAATAGTTCAACTCTGTTATGAGGAAAAATATTAAAACTAGAATACTGATTGTAAAAATGTGATATTTGCAAACTAACAACTTTATTAAACCTTTTGTAATTTCAACCCCAAAATGTCAATCTAATATACTTGGCATTACCGTTTTTCTTTTCAAATTATAATTTAAATTGAAGGTGTAAAACATTTATAACGTAAAATAAAGATTATATACTCATAATTTTATGCAGTATTTCAATGTTCGTTTGGCCTTGTCAGGCTCAATAGTTCAACTCTGTTATTGAGAAAAATATTACAACTAGAATACTGATTGTAAAATTGTGATATTTGCAAACTATTACCTTTATTAAACCTTTTGTAATTTCAACCCCAAAATATCAATCTAATAGACTTGGCATTACCGTTTTTCTTTTCAAATTCTAATTTAAATTTAAGATGTAAAACATTTATAACGTAAAATAAAGATTATATAAGCTTATCATTTTATGCAGTATTTCAATGTTCTTTTGGCCTTGTCAGGCTCAATGTTATTGAGAAAAATATTCATATTAAGCACATAAGAACTAGAATACTGATTGTATATAATGTGATATTTGCAAGCTATTACTTCTATTTTTGCAATATCAACCCCGTAACATTCAACCCCCAAAAAATGTGAATTTAACAAGTTTGGCACAAATTCAAATTAGAATGATATACATTCAAGTAATGTGGGTAGAACTAATATTGTTTCCAAAGAATGACTCCTTTTCAGACAGGAATTAGGTTTATCTTCTTACCTCCACAATGGCATTCAGGGCCGTATCTGCCCCGATACTAAGGTTAGTGCCCGGCACATTGTTACTAATGGTTGCAGGCAGCATACAGAGCGGGATGCAAAACTCCTCATAGCTGGACCGAGCCTCATACAGCTGCAGCAGACACTCTAAGGCCTTTGGCAGGTCAGCACAACACAGCAGGGGACCACAGGGGACAGAACAATGCACACGTTAGACCAGCAGGGGGAGTACTGGTGCAGGAGTGGACCCTGCTGATGGGACACCCATCGTGTGATGGCCGCCATGGCTTCTGACTGCGAGTCGAGGGGAAGAGGAAGGGGGTATGGATGGGATCGGATCGACTTACGCACTCACACGCACAAAGACACTGAAGCGAGACGGCAGGGATTCTGCACATTCTTATCAGACATAGAGACAGCAAGATGACTCAGTCCACACATTAACAGTGATAGTGTACTGAAACTGACAGTGATGACGCCCTCGTAACACTGGCATACTCAATTCCGACTGGTCTTTGCATATGATTTGCTTACTAAACTGTGAGTGTGAGTATGTTTAAATGTGTCCGTTCACCAAAAATAGAAAATTCTGTCACTATTTACTCACCCTCATGCCATTACCCCTGTTGTTTTTTTTTCCATGAAAAATAAACGTTTTCCAGAATGGCATAGTAAAAGTGCACTCTATTCTAAAGCTTCTGAAGTCACGCAATGTGAGTTTTTTTGCTGAAAATCTTTAAACATGGTATGACGTCTGCAGCTAAGTTTCCATCCACTATTTGTGCTATTTGTGGGGGTTTTTTTCTTCCATGAAATGTGCTTCTTCCATCCAGTTGGCCTTTTACCAATAAAAAATGGTGTGTGATGACATCCCTTAAAAAAATATATATATATTTTCTTTTTAGAGATTAGTTATTTTGCAAAAAAAATCTGCCCTTTGTTTCTATACATGACTAGGTGTATATAGCAAAATATTGTATCTTTTACATCCTACATCTTTGTAAAATGAAGAGAGCAATGAAACAATTGAAATTTGGCAGTTTACTGATTACTAATTTGACAATACTTATATATTATTAAATAAGGAAATACAAAATAATACAAAATAAAAGGAAACTCAAATAAAGATTTATAATCAACAAAAAAAAAATAGACAGATCTGGCTACTGACGCTTTGTGTACATGTGTATGAGAAAATTATATTTGGGAGCTTTGGGAGAAGAAGGGAAGATATCGTTAAATACATATCAATATACTGTATGTATTTAAGAATTAATTCCTATGGCCACATTTTAATTTGTTCACTTGTTTTAGTTCAATTGTGGCCATGATTTAACTAGAAAGGAACAAATTTGTACAACATAACCACGATTTAACTAAAATGAGTAATTTAAAGGTATCATGTGCTCTATAGAATTCATATCAGTACAGAGCCTTAAGTCACATGGTCTACTTTTATGTTAATTTTTATCTTGGGTTACTTTTTTATTTGTATCCCTAGTCATTTTTGAAACATCCAATATATATCAAAGTAACTTAGCATTTGAGTTCCATGAACAACAAAAAGTTGAGTTTGTAAGGACATGAGGGTTTCAGGTGAACTATGAAAAACTGGCAGTAGCCTGTGCTTTAGTAAGGTTTGTTAAACCATGGATGTAAAGAAACTATGCAGACAGACTCCAGCTCCGCCAGTGTTAGCCGGGGTGAGCGATCTGTTATGACGGGTTAATGCAGTGTGAGCACAGCACAGCACAGGCTCAGTCACATGTCAGCCACAAAAAAAGCACAGCTCCAAACATTCCGCCATCATGTCATCTCCACTTACCTGTCAGCTAACGGCTCGGCTTTGTGTTTACCAGCCGAAACTTTAATGCTTAGTGTAGAAATATTTCAATGTAAAGCTCACAAAACTACTAAGAACATGACCAGGTCATATTTCACCCCCAAATCAATAAGGAATAATATTTTGCTTCAAGAAAATGAAGCTGAATTTGGCCCAGACATATCTTAATAAAGGGGTGGTTGATTGCGATTTCACTTTTTTTAACGTTAGTTAGTGTGTAATGTTGCTGTTTGAGCATAAACAATATCTGCAAAGTTATGAAGCTGAAAGTTCAATGCAAACGGAGATATCGTCTTTTAAAATTCTGGCAGTTTAATGCCTACAAAAACGGCTGGTAGGGACTACAACAAGTTACTTCCCGGGTTCGTGACGTAACAAACCCAGATAAACCCCGCCCTCGGGAAAAGGCAGCAAAGGGGGCGAGGCCATGCTGTGCTGCTTTAGAGAAGAGGAAGAGAAAACTAGGGGTACGCGTAAAAATCTATTCATATATAAATCGCGATTATGTCTTCTAACGATTCTAATGGATTCACAAGTTTCAAAATCAATGTTCTAAAGCAGCGGTTCT